GTGAAAAAAGATATGCCCAGATAGAAAAAGAAATGCTTGCCGTAGTATTCGGAGTTGAACATTTTAATTACTATGTTTATGGGCGCCAGGTCACAGTAGAAGAAGATCACAGGCCACTGGAAGTGATCATCAAAAAGGCTTTGTCATCTGCACCACCCAGGCTTCAGAGGATGCTTCTACGACTCATGAAATATGAAATCATTCTTATATACAAGCCTGGTAAAGAAATATTTATCCCAGACACCCTCTCAGGAGCATCCCTACCAAGACATAATCCATCAAGTGATGACTGGGACGCACAGGTTCATCTAATAGTCAACAGTCTACCTCTTTCAGATGAAAAAAAAAAATTATTTCATCAAGAAACAGCGAAAGATGCAACTCTGAGAATTTTAAGGTAACATATTTTAGCAGGTTGGCCAGATAGACGATCTTAGATTCCACAAGAAATAAGAATGTATACTGGATTCAAAGAAGAACTAAGTGAAAGCCAAGGTTTACTTTTCAAAGGAGAGCGAATTATAGCTGAAATAAATGCTCAAGAAACTTCATTAGGGACATTTGGGGCGTGATAAATGTTTGGCTACAGCAAAGGAAGTACTTTTCTGGCCGGGAATGACATCACAGATCATAGACATTGTATCTAACTGCTCAGTATGCAGTGAGTATCAAAGATCCCAGCAAAAAGACTCCTTGATAGCCCATGAAGTCCCCTAGCTTCCTTGTGAAAAAGTAGGAGTTGACATTTTCCATTATACTGGAAAGAACTATTTACTTCTCCTTGATTACTACAGCAGTTTCTTTGAAATTAGTCTAATACCGTCTCTCAAAGCTTCTGATGTAATTATTCATATAAATAATGAATTCTATTCATTTCTATACTGTCCGGGAGTTTACTGTTCTCTCAGTAACACTGAGTAATTTTTTTTTATACGGTCTCCTAAAGGGATCGGGATCCCACCATAATCTTTATCCCAAAGGGATCAGGATCTTACCAGAAAACGGGATCCCACCTGGATCAAGATCCCAACCTTGAATGGATCCACCGGGATCGGGATAAAACTGGGAAACCGGACTGCGCCGGGATAGGTGTCAGAATGGGATTAGGGTTCCAATGCAATCAGGGTCACACAAGGATGGATTCCTAATGCAATCCCGGGCAACGCCGGGTATATTGGCTAGTCATATGTAGGCTTTATATAAAAATGAAATTTTGTGGGTTTGTGGGTTTGTTTGTGGGTTTGTTTGTGGGTTTGTTCCAAAAAGGCTTTTACATGGATTGATGGATCTTGACCAAACTTGGCACATATATCCATCATAATCCAGAAGGAAATCTTCAGGGGTTATGAACTTTTAATAACATTCCGTTTAGGGCCGGGGGCCCTGAAGTCGTTTTTTTTTCCTTATATGAGCTTTATAAAAATAATTAGAAACAAATACTCCTCCATGAGTTGATGGATCTTAACCAAACTTAGTAAACATATACTTTATTTTCCATATTCAAATACCGAAGGGAACTGAACTCATAATATCCATTAGTCTGGGGCCGGGGGGCCCAGTTCATTTTAACTTATATTAGCTATATACAAATCAATAGGCTTAACACTCCTACATGAATGGATGGATCTTGACAAAACTTATTACACATACACATGATCATCCATATTCAAATACCGAAGGGTACTGAACTCATTATATCAATTTCTGGGGCCGGGGCACCAGTTCAATTTTCCTTATATAAGCTATATGAATATCAATAAGGTTAGATAACGTTATAGGTTCTTTGTGAATTAATGGACCTAAGCCTAACTTTGTTCATTACGCTTCTTAGTCCGTATTAAAATATCGGGGGATTTAAAACTAATAATATCCAATCTAGAATTTCCCAGAAAGGTCGATAAATATAAAAAGCTATATCTACGGCCTTTTTTTTAAATCGATTTTAATGGGACAAATTTTTAATTTAATTGTGTAATTTATCTGAATGATTTTTATAGCCCCCCCCCCCCCCCCCCCACAACAACAAAAAAAAAAAAAAAAAAAAAAATGGGCCCCAATTTTAATTTAAAAGTATTATAGTTGTAGTAGTGTAAATTAGTTGTATAATATTTCGTATTTGAAAATTAATTACTTTGAAAAGTAATTTTTTACAGGTTTTATGGAGCATATCAAATTAAATCTAGAATCTTCCAAAAGGTTCTATATTGTCCTAAGGGGTTATATAACGTGATCTAAAAGCTTATTCGAACAAAATCGCACTGAGTATGTTCCCTTAGAGGAACAAGATCCTAATTGGGAGCGAGATACATAAGTTATACTGGAAACCTTTTTTACGGTAACGGGATCCCATCGGGTAACGGGATCAAACCGGGATACAATTTGAAAACAGGGTCCCTAGGTGAAAAGGGATCCCATAGAGAACGGTATCCTAACGGGATCGGTATACCATCGGGATCCACCAAGATAGGGATCCTATCGGAATCGAGGTACCGACGGGATCGGGATTCCCCCTAGATCCGAAGCCACAAGAAAATGGGATCACACCGGGATTGTGATCACACCTGGAAACGGGATTGCGCTGGGATCGGCGTCAAAATGGGATTGGGCTCCCATTGGGATCGGGGTCCTAATGCAATCCCGGGTATATCGGCTAGTATTTTATAATAGCAACAAATTGTTTCCAGTGGAAATAGTTATATTTTTTTTCACACATTATTTGTGTTATGGTGACAATGGATAATGTGCGCTGGTGTTTAATTTTTTCTTTTTTTAAAAAAGTTAATCTTTATTATTTGCGATGCACATATGGATATAGTTCAGAAGAAAAACATTTTTTGTTACACTTTGGATTATATATTTCTCGTCTTGTGACTTGGAATGAGCGTTTTGTGAACAGTTGGTAAGTTTGGTTTTTTAAATTTTTATTTTCCTTAAATCATAATCACATTTATATATTAAAATGTGAACCCAAGTCTGGTTTGTTTGTTAAGGGCATACATTTCCCTTTAATTCCATACCAAACTTAACATTTTCTGATGAAAAACAAAAAAGTTATGATGGTTTAGAGATGGCATAGTAGCGCCTAACAAATGTGCAAAGTTTGATAATTCGTCAGAACGCGGAAAATAATTCCGGAGAGAAAGAGTTAAGTTAAGTTACCGGTACGTAGTTAATTGGTTAATATTTTTTTTCCAGGCTGATATTTAAAATGTATTTTTCAGAAGGCGTAATGATGTTTCCAGTTACCGGTACCGAAAACAAAGAAATGTTCCAAAAGTCATTACCTGTACAAAAAAACAAATCTAAGACAAGTGACTAGAGTTACCTGTTTAATGATGTACACTACCATAATATACACGTAAAATGATGGTGACAACAGCAAATGATGCCAGTGCTCACACACATGAAGTTTCCTCTAAACTTGCACACATTATATCAACTGTATAAATTTGTACCCTTAAGTCTTAAGGAAAACAACACTTACTACTAGTGACATGACAAGCTATCTAAAGTGTGAAACATTATAATGTAGTCTTCTTTTAACACGTTTAGCATGTATAGGTTACAGGTACTAAAGAGATTAGAGCCTAGTATCTCTAGTTTTTTTTTTAAATAGTTAATTGCCGTTCGGTACATTGTTTCCATTATTTGTAGTAGATAGCGAAATAAAACAAAGGGTGTTAATTTATTTGAACACATAAAAAATGGACAGCTGCTGTTAAAAAGTAGTAAGCTACAAATAATTAATATTTATAATAATGGAGTATCCAATAATCTCAATAAAACTTATAACCAGATTTTTGTTTGTTAGTTATATAGCCTATAATAATACATATAATTGTCAATTATATCAAATGCAACTAAATAGATTTCAGCTGTTTTAGTTATAACAAGGCTAGAAAGCAATCTTTTTAATTTCTTAGGTGAAAAATAGTTAATGAGGAAAAAAAGTATGGGTATTAAGAATTGACAGCTATATATATAATATATATGTATATTGGCTGAGTTCAAACAACAAACATCACTTTCTTTACCACCAACACTTTTTGAACCTGATAATTATGTACCCAACCACTGTAAAATAAACAATTTTAATTCTCCAAAATAGAAAAACACAATCTGGATCAAAGACAAACTGATGTTAAGATCTGTTAATAATATAATACAACTTTTTGAATTGTGGCATATGTTTACAGCTTTGTTCTTACCAAAATCAAGGGTTAATATTTTAATTGAGGCTATAGTAACTAAAAAAAATAATCACAATCACAACATTGAGATGAAATTAGTAACTGTTGTATGTTCCAAGTAGCTTCATAATAATATAAAGATCAGCATGTTAGCAAAATACCATAATCCTATCACCCTGTTAATTGTAAATATTAAATCTGATGAGCATTGGCCCATAAATCTACCAAAAGAATAGATAATATACAATTGATGATGAAATTCTGAACATAAAATAATGCTCACTAAAAAAACAACCACAGCAAATAAAACCACAATGAAAATTAGTCAAGAGTGGTTTATGCACTCAAAACTATGTCAGTATCAAGGTTTCTCCAAGTATTAGTTTAGGCAAATAAGTGTTTTCAATGTAACAATGTGCTAATCAATTATGATGTATTCCTTTTAAAAAAAAAGCTGGTTTTACATAAGCATCATGGATGAAAGCAAACATACCTCAGATGTGCAGCTTATCATAATGAGCTGATGCCGATATAACAAATGAAAAGTCCCCAATGCAAACAAAATTTGAACTTGCATTCATTCCAACATAAAATTCTTTCAGCATATGTGACAAAAGGATCATTAACATCTTTTTAGGCAAAAAGCAGTTGGTATCTGATTCAACAAGTGGTCAGCAATTTAATCAGAGAACAAATAATGTAACATACAGTTTTTTTTAGAATAATCTTCACAAGCACACAAATATGGAATACCAAGCTCATTATAATGCAACCCCCCCCCCCCCCCCCCCCCCCCACCCCCCCCCCCCCGCGCCCTTTCCCCCCTTTCCAAACTTGTCCTGTAACGCTTTTCTAAAATCATAAAAGGTGTTAACTCTTGCATTTGATAAAAATAATAATAAAACCTGTTGACAGAGAAAATTGAAACTACAGAGTATGTATCAGATAAGAAAATAAAAAAAGTATGCATTGAATAAATATGCACAAAAGATGATAAACATATTAACTTGGAATTAATCAAAACTTCGTCAGGTTAATTACTAATAGGAATTATCTGTACTTGGGAATTTTTTTTGGTGAAGTTTTCATCATCATTTACAAAATAAAACAATGCGCCTTTGAACATTATTGTTAAAAATCTAATAGGTGAACTGCTAGAAGTAGTAGTGTTAATTTTATTATTAACATGTAAGAATGAAATTAAATAAAAACCTGTATCAATAATTTGAAATTGAATTAAACCTGTTCAGTAATGATATTTTAAATCGGTGTTAGCCAACCCAAATGGCCTCCCTTGCCATTTGGTAGTGAGTTAACTTTTCATGGCCGCATGTCCTCACAACAAATTAATTCTGTGGAGGGTTACTGATATGCTCTCACATGATAAAATGCAAACTATAATGTGAAAATTGGTTTATGTCCTTTATCTCAATTAACTTGGAAAATCTTTTTCCATATAAATTCAAAGAAGTCTATTTTTTATACAAACAGCGGGCAACAAATGTGCCAAAGGTTGGCCATCTCTGTTTTAAATTATTGTTTTAGAAGTCATCTTCCATTAGGTAATGACATCAACAGGGTATGGCTACATGTAAAAACTATACAAGTTAATTTAATTGAGTGGAATGTACACAAAAAGAAACTCAAATATGCATTAGAAGATAATTCTTGGAATGAAAGCAGCTTCATCTTTTAGATTTAAATGATGACTAAACAAATTTTCAAGTACAGATCAATGTGACTATGGACACTTGTAATAACAACAATGGCTATGATAATATCACATTAAAAAAGTTGTGTTTATTATGACATTAAATAAATTCAAAGATGCATAAATACTAATAACTTATTTTTAAAAAATTGTATTGAAAATAGTACCTAACTTTAAGAAACTCAGAATGCTAATTTAATGGAAGAAAAATTAATGCAATTAAGCTAGGTAGTAGCTTTTGAAACATTAGGTTCGAACAATATTTCTTTGTTACAAAGGCTGGTAATTATTTATAAAAATGAGATTAAGCTTTTGATTGTTCTTTAATTTTTATGGTAATAAGGAGGAGAGACTGCATCCAGGTTAGCAAAAAAGTACATGAGTGAAGCGAAGTATGGGAAAACCTGAAACAATTCTTTTGCTGCCCTCTGGGATTCTACTTTTCTGCTAAGTGGTATTTTTAATTAATTCTGCTTTTATTGTTGTTTGTTCACTGATGAAGGCTTCCTGCCGACACCTTCGTTGTTTTCTTATGTTCATTTTTTCAAGTTTTCCCATGCTCTGTTTCACCTATTCCTTTAATTTTGATGTATGTTTATTTACTTGTTAGCTCATCTAGAGTAGAATGACACCCTCACAACTTCCTAAATGATAGCAAACTGAGAAGCTTTAGAGTTTCTTTGGCCTCTCATTAGACCCAATGCTAAAATCAATGTAGTAAGTAAATCTGATACTGTATAGCAAAAAAAAATTCACAACACAAAGTCATGATGCAAAAAAAAATATTTAAAAATCCATGAACATTTAAAAACAAAATTCATATCTTTAACATGTATTCATTATAAGTAAAATATGTTATATTAACATAAATCACAGAAATGCAAATGAAATAAACATAAGCAAAGAAAAGTGTTCTTTTATATATAATGAGTTTGTGAGCAGCATGTGAGTTACAGTAATAAAATTAATTCAAAATTTAGCTAAAAAATTACAGCTGGTACCTAATATTTAATATTTTAAGCTTAAGATTTATAGTACCAAGATTCTTCAGTAACACAAAATTGTTTTAAGAAGAGTAATACACATTTTGATCTGAAAACTCAAAAGCTTATATTGCATATTTCACTTGCAATAATAATTCTTAATGAAATTTCCATTTTGCTAATTGCTATCAAGAATATGGGGCAATAAGAAAAATATTTCTTAAAAAGAATAATCTCACAACACAATTATTGCTTTCAGAGATAAATAGTGTTAGCATATTCAACTCATGGAAATTTTAGATTTAAAGAAAATATACCAAGAATACTAAGATTACAAAATCCACTTAAACAACAAGAAATTAACAAACACATTAAGAGACAGAGCTGCCACTGACAACAACCCTATCAGTTTTAAAGCAGTTCCATCGATACTCTACTAACCTACAGTCTGTCTATAGTCTTTCAAGTTGGCCTACTCCAGAGTTGTTTTGAAAGTACTCTTGAGATACCCAGAAATGGTCAGCATCATAAAAGTTCATTTCAGAGTTCTAATAAAATATTATTGTTGTTCATTTGCAGTATGATACATACTACACCATTTCATGAAGTATTACAAGACTGAACGTCCATGTAATAACGTACTGTCATAATATATGTTTTAAGGTTTAGCAGCTCTGCTCATTTGAATATAATTCTAAGAGATCAGCCCCACATAAATTAATTGCAATAAATATTATTGTGTGAGTTGTGTAATTTTCATTTGTTGTAATAGTATTTAAATCACTGATTTATTACATTAGCTGAACCATAAACAAATAACTTTAAATTAAATCCTAAACAAAATAAAAATACATCTGGAAATCATCCAAAATATTTAGTTTACATTAAATAACTGACATAATGATATATTTAACAATTTAAAGAGTTGTATGACAAAGTTGTGTGTTGAAGCTTTGAGAAATGCTTTGTCATATGTTGAAATACAGCCAAATGTAAAACAAACTAATGGATCTCATAATACAACTAGTTTGGTGGAAATAATTAAATAAAATCAATGAATGAAACTTTACGTGTATTAGTTGCATTGCCATGTGATGAAGAGGAAGTTAATAGTAATAGTACACATTTTGAAGAAATTATAAAAAAAAGAAAAGAAATAAAAAAAAAAGAAATAAAGGAAATTAATTTCAGTCACACGTAATAGGCAAACTGAATAAATGCACAAGACATTAATACATTTAAGATTTATTATTGTGATCAATTAGTGTTTTGTCTTGGAATAATATTTTTTAAAAAGGCATAGAAAGCTATTTAAATGGTTAACTACCATGAGCCGGTGTTAGCGGCTTGGCGTTTCTTCCGTTATGGCCACGAGCCGCTTGTAGCGCCAATGTTTGAATCCTATTAAATCGAGTCAAATATTTATATTGTTCTGTTCCTGTTTAGCTTCGAGATAATAATTTACAGACAGGATGTTTATATTCGAACCGCATGCTATTGGCAGAATGTTTTAAAAAAACCAGCTGTTATTTTATTTAATTTCCAAGCTAGTTACAAAATTGTATTACTTGTTTGCGTGGCAACAAGTGACAGGGTTACTAAAGGCATATAAGTGATTGGAAGTGTAAATATTATTCAACAGTGCATTTTTCTTATTATTGGATATACTATTTGGAAACCACCAAATACAAGGCTTTAAATGATTTGGAAATTTAAAATTTGTATGGAAGTTGGCACATTTATATATTTTTTATTGTTTTTCTGTTGTAAATACTAATTTTACAATAATTTCCTAACAAAACTTAACTTTACAAATATTTTATGTTTATCTTATAGACGATTCAATTACCTACAAAATGGTTTATTAATCATTAGAATATGTTTATAATTAAGAAATCTGCAGCTGAATTTGTATATACACCTAAAATGAGAAAATGTGACCTTGATTTAATTCGGCCACAGCGGGTTTTTCAATCTGGTAGTTAATCAGTTAAAAAATATGTGCTAAATAATGATTTCTAACCAATAAATCAACACCAGAAAATATTAATCTTTATTTTTAAAGCCTGATGTTAAAGTAATGGCATTGAACTTAGTTTTAAAATAATGTTCTTTCCATAACAACAAATAAAGATCAGATGTACTTTTCAATGTTGTTTTAAATAGTTGGTTTAATTTAAGTTAAGCACAAAGCTAATGCATGCTTCAAAACAAGGGTGTAATAATTCCTCTGAACCATTATCAATTATAACACAGAGGAAACACAATCCAACTTTAAATTCAAGACCTTGAAATTATGATTTTGGAACCATACTAAAGAAAAAGAAAAGGACAGAATGCACATGTAATTGTGTTTCTCCATGACAAACTCATGGCTAGTCTACACACTTTAAAAAATAAAAATGAATAGATGGATACCACCATACTGTACATAACTACATACACATCTATTACCTACTAAACAGATCCCTGCTTCTGTATTATTTTCATCCACTCCACGTCTACACAAATTTAAATAACTGGATAAAAGTTGACTAGAATCAATATGTAGGTTGCTGGTAGTCTGGAGTCTCTTTCTGTTGGCTGAATGGAGGTTGTTGATAAGGGTCGCCAGTATCACTTCCTGGGAAAGAACTGTAGGGGGAAGAAGCATTGGGATCCTGATCATATCCAGAGGCAAAAGCTTCCTGGGCTCCCAAACGATAACGACGAACAGCCAAGAAAGTCAGCCCTCCCTTTAAGAAATATAAAATTATGAATCATGATTAAAAATATAGAACATTTTTAAAACTTTGTATTTAATTACAAAAGTATTTATAGTATAATAACTTAAAATTTTTAGGAGATTTATTCAAGATACTTTAACATAAGGTAAAAAATTTATTTCTTAAGTGAACCTGAGCTTCTGTATCACATTATGCGAACCAAAGTTACAAATTTAATATTATTTAATTTGTTTCTACTTGTTAAAAACATTAATTAGGAGATTTCCTACCCAAGTAAAAATGGAGAAGAAAGAGAAAGCTATGGCAGCCTGCACATTATCTCTTCCACCATGTTGTATTTTTTCTGTCCTTCGCCAAGCATCTGTCATATAACAGAATCCAACAAACCACAAAAATGTCCACAAACCTAAAAGTTAAAAAATAATAATAGGCTTATGTCCAAATTTAAATAGTCTAATACCTATTCATTAAATAGCATGGAAAATACATCTGCCAGCGGAACAAATAAAACGTACTATAAAAGCCAAATAGCAATTGTTCATTATATCTCAGAAATGAGTAAATACAGGTAGCTAGGAATTTCAAAAAATATAAAATATATTTTTTAAACAAAACATTTAATGGAAACATATACTCATGTAATATTGTTGCTCTGTGGGCATATCGAGGAATAAAGTTAATATGGATGGCCATTATCGAGAATTACTTTAAAGTCACTGATGAAGCCATAATAAATACACCAATATTCTTTCAGAAAAATTTATCAAGTTAGTAAAGTGTGTAAGTCAGGCCTACCAGATATTCCCAAGTCAGCAAGAACTGCATACTTCCTGTGCTGCACACTGCTCAAATTCTCAAATAAAGCATCGACGATAAGAAATCCAATACAAATGAGAAAGGCTAGAACGCCTATGCCTGTACCATAGCCACAAGCATTATCATCCTTATTCATGATACATGAATGAGCATACCATCCTCCAGATGATATGCAGCTGAAGACAACTATGGCAAATAACTGTAGAGGATAAAAGGTACTTTTTTTTTTCTCCAAAGATGAAACAATAATTTACAATAGCTAAATTTCTTATACTAAATAAAATATTTAATTGTAACTATTTTTACAAGCATTAGTTGGTCATGCAAAATGTGATAGCTTAATTAAAATGAGCTTATAATCTTGTATCAGTTTTCATTCCTGAAAAAGTTTTGTGCTATGCTCACTAAAGACCCCTTTTGTACCTTTATTTAAATAATATATACAATTGCATAGCTATATTATTAACTCAAGAACTATGGTCGGCAGAGCCTTCAGTGCAAGAACTCATAGAAATATTTTTGAAAGCTTTTAAAAAGAGATTTTAAGTGATTCTGATGATGATCCCAGAACAATCCTGTTTCCAGGTGTCATCCCGATCCCGGTGGGATCACAATCCTGTCGATTTCTCGATTCCGATGGGATCCCATCTTGGTGGATCCCGATGGACTACCGATCACGTAAGAATACCGTACACTGTTGAATCCTGTTTCACCTAGGCACTCTCTTTTCCGATGTTATCCTTTTTCACGGCCCCAGAAGAATGGATATTATGACTTCAATACCCTTCGGTATTTTAATATGGATAATAAAGTGTATGTATACTACGTTTGGTCAAGATCCATCCATTCATGGATTATCTTTTAGTATAGGAAAAAAACAACATTTTGGGCCCCCGGCCCCAAACAGAATGTTCTAAAAGTTCACAACCCCTTAAGAGTTCCTTCAGGATAATGATGGATATATGTGTCAAGTTTGGTCAAGATCCACGAATACATGTAAAAGCCTTTGAGGAACAAACCCACCCACAAACATTCACTTTTATATATATAAATGATATGATATATGATATGATATTATTATTAAAACTTATTTTAAGTTAATTATTTTTTAAATATGGAAATTAACAATATATTAACAATTTGAATAAGTAAATTAGGCCTTATGTAGTATTAGAAAATTTGTATTACTTTATTAAACTTTGAACTTTGGGGCTTAATATTAATACTTATACTTATAGATTAGTAAAAAGATTAGTAAATTGTACCGGTACTTAAAACTTAGGATTAATGGCTAAGCTTCAACCTATGAATTATAGGTAAATTGTAGTAGTAGATCTAGAAATAATAGGTGGAAACAAACTTATATTAATTTTTATGTATATTTTCGATTTCTGTATTCTAAAATTACAATTTACTTAGATTTATTCAGATATTTAAAGATTATGGAATATTAAAACTCTCCTTTGATTGATACCGAGAGCAAATTTTTTGTTTCCAGTGAAGATGCAAAATATGGAGAAATTTATTTTTTCCCTCCGGTGATGGGAGGGTGATGAAAATCTGAAAGGGTTAGTATTAACCTGGATATTGGAATATGGACTATTTCAAAGTTATTCCTCATCCAATTTAGATGCTAAAGACCATTGTTTGGGTTCCAATGTGGTGCAATCGCTAAGCAATGAAATTTTTAGTAATTTTTAGCTTACCGAATTTTCAAAGTGACATCGAAAAAAAAATGGAGGTTCCCCTCATTGGGAAAATTGCGCTTCACCGTAAGACAAATATTTTATGTTATCAATTACAAAGTTAATTTATAATTAGAAACTGTGACGTAAAACACATAAATCCAAAGTCACTGTAGAAGCGATTGTAAGATGGCCACTTCAGTTTTTTTGATATGCGCAGACCGAATGCGCTAGTAAGTATTGAGATGCCTACTTATAACAAGCCCTTTAAATTTTAAAATGATGTATCAATTATGGCAATAGGACAATAGCCTAATTAAAATTTCCGTCAAAGTACCTAATATAGCTCGTGACGCAAACAGCGGAATTGGGTCACAGAATGTGGAGATGCGGTCCATGTTATAGACTATTCAATGTTAAAAAAGGACAAATCAAGTCGTACTTTAAAAATTAATAACTTTAAAACTAAACTAAACTTAAACAGCTAAAAATAAGATTTTGGTGTTATAATTCTTTTCAAAAAAATTAGCTCTATTCAACTATGCCATTGGTTTATTTTTACAAAAAGCTTTAATTTGTTTTATCAAAGTACCTACTACCACTACGAACTTACTAAAATAGGTACTTTGATGAAAATTTCAAAACATTTTTAAAAATATAACAATACTACAGCTGTATAGAGCATGGAGAGTAGATTACAAAAACACAAAGATCAACTTTCTAGCTCAAGTGGTTAAAAAGTTATGAACTTTTTAGTAGGGACCTCAAAACCACTTTTTCACAATGGGATTTTCCTCCACACTTGCGACACTCATTTTGCCTTTCATTAAACGCCTATAACTTTATTATAAAATGAGACAAAAATATAATACTTACAGGGAACATAGTTAACTTCTAAATAAAGCCACAAAATGTAAGTAAGCTTTTGTTATTATGCCGCAAACATTTTGGAAAAAAAACTGTATTTTTTCCTATTAAAAATGTTTAAATATGCTGACTGGTCACTTATTTGTAATTAATTAATTAATTTTGTTTAAATATTTTTTTTATAATTTCCTAAACTTATGATAATAATAATCTTGAAATATTAATTTTAAATTTTCAGTGGCATTGTTTATTATTTATAAGTATAAACAAATAATAAAGGGTTATTTGTTTCATTTAGTTAAAATTTACAATTACACTTTTTATTTTACCATTTTCTATATATGTATTTTAGTCCTACGTGAATATGACAAAAAATTAGTATGTCATTTATTTTAAGTAGTCATATGTTGTTTCACAAATCAATATGAATTGAAAGAATCAACTTTTGCGGTTGATAAAAATTAAAATAATTTCTAGCCATTTGCTTGAGGTAAGTACAAGTTTGTATTATAGTTCTTTAATAATATCTTAAAAAATCCTTGATTATTGTGGCAGAAAGTGTGTGTTTTCTTTGCAAATAATTAGGATTATACAATAATTCTCTTGTGGAATATTTGTGATATGCGATTAAATATAGGACATTTCAATACCAAAGGTAAGTGAATATTTTTTTATATTTTTTCTTATTTTATGCCTTCAGAATCATAATATGATAATATAGCGTAAAATTTCATTACATATACTTTTTTTACAATAAGCCCTACAAATAATAAATTGGGTTGGAGTTAGGCCTATACTATTTATTATACTAAGCTTATAGGCTTATAAATATATTAAATAAATATATATATACATATAACAATATATATATATATATATAAATCATATGTAGGCCTATATATATTCATATAATATATAAACTAATATAATGTATTATTTATTAAGCTTTTTATCCCACTCACCAAATCATTACTATTATTATAATATTATATTTCAACTAAGCCTATTCTAAATCAAAATCAAATACAAGTGGTTATCAATCCCAAGTCCATGGCAAACAACCCCTAAATTTTAAAAACAACGATATTTCATAAGCCAATAATAATTGTTTATGTTATAAAACATTGTTTTATTTATTTAAATGATTTATTTATAGTTATATTTCCCATTTATATTCTGTAAAACAAATTTAATGAATTATTAACTACCCCACGGCTGCTATCAAATAAGCAGACAAGCATGGTGGCCTTAATGACAAAATACATAGCCTAAAAACATGACCTCTTAGATTTTTGTTTTTGAAGCCTGCCGATGGTCTACCCTCATGAATTTTGGATATGTTATAAATGACCCCATAACTTAAAGAAACCATTTTTTTTAAAAAAAGTTATTGATGAGTTAAGTTCCCCTATTTTAAAAAAAAAATCAAACGAACTCTCTATACAACAAGCAAGATGTTGGCTTTAAGTATTTGGTTGATGTAGAATTTATTATTATGCATATAATCGACCATAAAAGGCGAAACAATGATACCCTCAGTAAATTAAAAAGTGGAGGTAGCCATTTTGACAACGAAATTACGATATCTGTTTTTAGGGTATTTCCGGTCGATGCCGAGGTCCCTAACTAAAATTTACTAAGAGTTAAATAGAATAATTTCAAACTAGCTCCCCTTAGCTATGCCTATTGAGATTCACAATAGGGAAGCCTTATACGCAGTCGACTGCGCATAACCCTGAGGGTTATTCACAGCCGACTGCGTATAACTCTCAGGGTTATACGCAGTCGGCTAGGAATTTAGCCAAATAAGGTTTATCAATCGCTTGTTTGGCAATTTAAAAAAAAAAATATTATGCGTAATTAGTTGCATGACGGGTTGTTTAGAACTATAACTTTGGATGTGTTTAACGTAAAATTTTAATTGAATTAATTTTAATTAATATTGAAATTGATGATAGCAATAGTATTAGTGTTAGTGCTATTATTAGTATTATTGCTTGTATCTTATATATTATAATTATAAGTATAAGTATAAGTCAAAGTCTACATTTCTTAGAGTCGAAGCCTAACGCGGTCTTAGTCTAGTTATGTATTTTGATTGATTAGGTTTTTATATGTTGCTATGACAATGTGGTTGGTTTTACTGACTAATTCAGGAAATATATTCTATTTATTTTTTAAAAAATTATATCTATTTATCTTCTTTTTTTCTTTTTTTTTTTGATGACCTTAATGTAACAGTTTTCAGCTTCCATGCAAAACTATAACTGTGTGAAAGTATTACTTACAGTGATCCCTCTACAGAACCCCTGCCCCTACAGCGATTTTTTTACTGCTACTCTCAACCCATGATTATATTTATTACTGTACCAGAGAAACATGATTTTATCTGCCACAAAATTAGTTAACAACACAAAAATATATTTGATAATTATAAGAATAACATTATTAACATTACATTGGTCAAGTTAATAATTCTTCTCATGTTTTAACATTTTTTAGCCAAAACAAAATTAAAACAATAAGCCTAGTTGATTTGGCTTCATCTTCGAGAACAAACATAACAACTAACACGTAATCATGGCTTGCCGTTGGCTGGAATTGAACTCAAGACCACCATCTTGAGGTTTGGTCAGTTTGTACCGTTCGACCACCCAGTCACCCCAATAACGAGGCATCCTTATTGATTGATACTGTAAAACAGGAAGAATACAGACGTCACGTGACTTGCCGACTGCGTATAACTCTCAGGGTTATACGCAGTCGGCTGCGCATAACCACTTCATTCACAATCATTGGCTAAAACTTACTCCAATTAACTCATTCCCGACGTTTGCGACTAGATGCGTCTTTTACGGGTTTCGCCGGATGCGTCCAAATGCGTCCCGGCGCATAGCGACACACCTCTCTCATATCTATTTAAAAATAGCAATGAAATCTCGCATCCCTCGAGACTTCCGGCGATGGTGTGGTTCAGCGTGATTTTAATTTAAAAACCGGAAGTTTTTATCTTGTTTCACTTTAAAACTATGTGTGCTTTAGTACGGCGCGTCTATATGTCGCATGTGTTCGTCCGAGGTGCCGAAAATCGATTTTTTGGTCATTGTTCGTTATTTTTTCCCCGCTAATGTTATATTTATATTAAACCTTATTCATTTTTTGTTGCATTTGTTCTTTATTCATTAACATTAAAAAATATTTAGTAGCTTAAATACATATTAAAAAAATGTAAACAATTTCAAAACGGGGTTTCTTCCCTTTCTCAGGCAAATAAATTAAATACGGAAGTAGCATTGCCGGAGAGTTAATAAATATATTTGTATTTCATTATATTGGGGGAAATAAAGTAAAGTGTAAAGGGATTAACTTTAAAAATAAATCATGGTTTAACATTACACCCCAAGCCCCCTCCCTTCCAATAAATAATAAGAAATGCTCTACAAGTACAAGTACTTTGCCACATAAGTATAAGTATAAGCGTGGAACTTACACTTACACAATATTGTCCTCCCAAGGTACTAAACGAATTTTAAATAAATAGTTTTCAGTTTTAACAAGAGTATAACATTAAATCTACTCTACAAGTACCAGTTAGGCCAAAAAGTTAAAGACTGGCAAAGACCATGGCTTTGCTACTTTAAATCGCGGCCACAGACCACAATTTAGCTAGGTACACCGCCGCGGTGTACGCAGGCCAAAGTCAATAGTTTCGCTAGGTACACCGCCGCAGTGTACGTAGTGCCGGCCATAATTTTAATGAAAATTAATGTAGTAAAAAGGAATTTTATTTTAGGTAAGCCGAATTTTATTTTACTAGAAATTGTAACAGCGCTAAAATAAAGGATTGCCATGTCACCCTATGCCTATGCTATTCCCCATTTTTTCCCTGATCTACGCCTCTAGTCCCCTGCTGCCCTGGTCTAATCTATGCCTCTGGCCTGGGTCCGTCCCCGTCCTAATTTTAAATTTCAGGAAAACAAGATCACAAACATATTCAAAGAGTAACAACCGGTAAACGTGTGAGGAAAACGTACCCAGCTAATTCCCCTAAGAATAACTTGAGGTCTTTTTATAAACTGAAGAGGATCAAACGGTGCCCCTGCTTTACCAGCTCCAAACGCACCTCCAGCTACGGCAGACATTTTGCTCTTTCTATAACAAAATAATGCGCATACATGAAATAATGACGTCATAATTATGCAGCTACTAAAAAAAGCATACCACTCTGTTCATAGCTGAAACAATTAAAGCCTTAAGTACAGATTAAAATAATATAAATTCAACATAAAATATATTTTTGCTAAAAATTGCGTAGTGGACCAAATATTTGTGTTCATTTAAAAAAAGAATAATAAGTGCGAGACAAAACAACCTTCAAACAATATTGGTTTTACTAAACAATCATTCTTCCCAATCGAGAGCTTCAACTTCAAGGCTGCCCTGACATCTGCTAGGAGCCGTTAGTGTTAGGATCGCGGTATCGCTTCCCCAACCGTTGCACATATTCATATGCCAGTACATGGATGCAGCAACGTACACTACCAGAACTAATATTTTAATAAGTGATCTAATTTATGGATTATTTAATGCCTTAAAACTTTTAAAGAATGGGGACATTTTTTTTTCTAAATTCACCTAAGCCTATTATTATTATTATTGTTATTCCATTGTTGATATCACACAGTTTTTTCAACTTTAAATCAATAGCAAAAACACTGTGATGCTCAATGAAAATGCATTGCATTCAGCATTTCCATGAAAATAAATATCACAACTTTTTAATGAAATTTGTAGGAACCCATGGGCTTTAAATGCATTGGATGATCCAATTTTACATCTTTGCTTAATAATTACAGGGGCGTCTTATACTCCCCCCCCCCCCCCCCTTTTCCTAACCTTTTTTTTTGAGTGGTGGAAGCCAACTACCTTACCCTGGGTTTCTTTCAGGTATTTCTCCAGGGATTGGGGGGGGGGGGGGCTTACATGTTTTAGAATAAATTCCTATTCCTGATTTCTCAATTTAAAATAAATTATGTAGATTTGGGAATTTTTTTTTAAATTGATTTTCAGTATATCTAAGTGGCAATTTGCAATTTTTCTGAAAAAAGAGCAGTTTGTGAAGGAAGTAAGGTTATTCCTGCAACTTCAGCCGATGCCCACAGACTCAGCGGTCATCTAGATAATAGGTGCCCTGGAGGGACGTGCTCGTCAGGACATTTTGGACCAAACTGTTGCTACGATAGACACTCCAGATAAACTACTGCACTTGATTTTGCAAAACTGGGGTGATCATCGTGACGTCACAACTCTAGCGGCCGCATTCTACCTCAGACAACAATACCTTGGGGAAACTGTCGAGAACTATGCGAAAGAATTGCGCAACATCTTCATGTTAGCTAATTCTGCATGACCTGGCATTCTCCCAGAAGACATACTGCATGACGTATTCATCTAAGGTCTCCAACCACCCACCCTATGCAGAGATGTCAAGGCCTACGCTAGGCTACACACTGGCTGCTTATTTGATGACGTCCGTAGGGAAGCACAACGGTGGAAGCGTGAGTACATTTCTGATGTCGCAACCGCCCAGCTCTCAGCATCACCGTCACCTTACCTGAACCAGCTGACAACACAACTGATGGCTCGTATTGACCATCAAGTGGCAGCATGGGCAGAAAGATATAACCCTCCATCGCCTGAAAGGGACTGCGACGTCCGTTTTACCGAGTCTACACCAGCACCTACACATCAGCGACGACGAAAGCGCAAGCGACAACCTACACGCACGGATGTGTTATGTCGTTGGTGTAGTCGTAGAGGTCACACAGAGCAGGTATGCTGTGCCAAGAGAAATTACATTTCTCAAAGAAATGGATAACCACAACACCCCAAGAGGCGACGGTCAAAAAGGAAATTCAAGATGCCATTTGATCATGATGCTGCTCACGGCCAGCCGACTGCTGGTCAGCATGTGTCAACATATGTAAGAGAACCTGGTCAGTCTACCCTTCTGTTGTTGGAACTAAATCTGAGAATGTGCGATCCACAAACTCAGACGCAAATACGATTCTTAAACTTCAACCCGAAAGTGTGACTACAGCTGGTCATAGTGGCAGTCGAAATATTAGGAAGAGATCAACAGTTAATTTTTCTGACACTGTCTACAGGATGGTTCTGTTAGTGTTGAACCAAAACAACCGGCAGTTTGTACAGACGTTGAGAGAAGAACCGTTATCATGACCCACACAGTAACACTAAAAACAAAGACACACGTTTTTAATTCTAGGGGAGAACTGAAAGTTTGAGAAATCTGAAATTATTAAAAAATGAAAGTGATCCAATTGAAGGCCATCAAACCACAGAGGATTCAATCTCTACCATGGTTTTACCACCACCAACTTCCAGTACAATGAGTACAGGGTACCTGAACGAGATTAGCTCATCCTCACAAACAAGGACATTTAGTTCCGACCCAAAAATCAAGCGTGTCCAGTTTAGATGCTATCCCGTCAAGACAGGTTTCACCACAACGGCATTACACGTGTATCTGTCATGACTGCACTCTAACATTCACACTCACGTGGGAAACATCCGAAACACGTGACCACAACGCAAGTAGTACCTCCACCAGTAGTACCTCCACCAGTTATACCACGCAGATCACTTAGCATCGCAAATTTTTTTTTTGTTTTTTTAAAATATTCGATCGTTCTCTAAATTTTTATTACGAAGTAGTAGGCCCAGCAGGGACGCGAGGATTTAAGAGCAAGTAGTACCTCCACCAGTAGTACCTCCACCAGTTATACCACGCAGATCACTTAGCATCGCAAATTTTTTTTTTTTTTTTTTTTTGAAATATTCGATCGTTCTCTAAATTTTTATTACAAAGTAGTAGGCCCAGCAGGGACGCTGGGATTTAAGCAGTTGTGGTGGATGTGCCACTATTTGCAACTGCTTTTAGGTCACATTTTATATGCGGCAGTATGCAACAGACAGGAATTAGAGAATCCACTCTCATAGTCAGTGTGTCTGCTGTGTCTAACCACAAGCACGTACACATCCATGGTCATCTAAAGTAACACACAGCTGTGTACTGGCCTTAAGTTTTATGTAGGTTATTTACACGCGGGACTAACCATCCCTGCCCCGGGGTTAACCCATGGTCAGCTCGGGAGGAGGGGGATCCCTGTGACTGTTGGGGGGGGGGGCGAACTGGGACTTGAGGTGTGTACATTTTTTTAGATGGTGGTGTGGAACGGATGCGTCGGGTCGGCGCGGCATGTGTGAGAGATTTTCCTGTCGGCTCTGTCCACGGATTGAACCTTACATTAAAAAGCTATAGTTCTCAGACCTGATTGTTTTATTGTGATGTTATTTATACTGTAAGCTACGTCACCACTCAGCTACATATTATATAAAAGTGAAATTTTGTTTGTGGGTTTTTTCCAGAAAGGCTTTTACAAGGTGTGGTGATCTGACTTATGACTTGTTAGTGGGGGGTATCTCTCGTATGAGATCTCCTCTTGGCACTCTGTCTAGGGATTCGTTATTTAAGATAAATTACCACACAGACATAACACCTATCTATATACATATAGTATAGACTGAAACGAAGTCTTTGTTCAAGGAGAAAATAACTTTAAGTATTTATTGAATAATAATATTTACAAACTCCTCCATTATACACTCTTGGTGCTTAATAAATGTACATCAAATGAATTGCATCCAATTAGAAAGGTATATCAACATAAAGCCATTGTCCCTATCATACAGACGGTATCATCATTATTAATGCTATATTGCTCAAGTTGTATGCTCAATCTTTGTTGACTTAGCCTTTATAGTTCCGGTGATGATCTCGGTGGATCACACAGTGTGGGAGTCCTTCTGTTCCAGAAGCGTGTCCATGTTCCGATCTTCGGAGCTGTTCTGAGCGTAGCGAAGTCGTAGTTCCCTGTCGTAGATTCCGTGGAATGTCTGCGAGGGGGAGAGGACTCTCCCGCGATAAATCGGGGTGGTGAGAGTCCCTGGATCTCGAAGTCCCAGCTGTCAGGTAGTTTGGTGTAGGACGTTGATCAATCCCCTAGTTCCAGCTTCAAGGTGCGTCGGTCCAGTAATAGAAACATGGCTAAAGGCAAAATGATACAAAAATGGATAAGTATCCAGGGGAATATCCATAAGCTGATAAGTCCCGTTCAACAGCAACGAATTCAGATCGATGTGTGGAAGGTGACGTAGCTTGTACATATATACATCCAATTTTTGGATGGAATTATAAGTCTTGTCATTGTCGGCGAGAGCATATGTTGCATCGCGACAATGTTGGGCCAAGCAAACATTTTAATTAATGAAGAATGGGACGTAGAATCATTATCAATCATTAAATTTACAGGTTCATAGAATACACATTGTCTTCCCGTTAAAAGAGACATGGGCGAGTTGGAACAACAACCTACCATCCCCATGATGGGATGGCGGCATGTCGAAGCCCGCGGCAAAAGTAATAATAGAATTCACAATATCATGTAATATAGGCATCATTAGAATAAGATCAAACACGATCGAATATTTGCTACATAGCTATATGAACAATACAAGTGCAATACCATAATATCAAAATCGTGGTTGCCTACTTACTAGTACTCTAGGTAGCAGTTGCAGTTAAGTATCACGCTAGTGAAGTACTAAGTCTAGTCACTTCAAGCTTCCACAATCAAGTGACCAGATCTTAAAAGTCATGTACTTGCTAATATCCTAGGTTGCAGTTATGTATCACGCTAAAGAAGTTCTAAGTCTAGATCCTTCCAGCGTCCACGGTCAAGTGATCAGATCATAAAAGACAGATTCTTGCTTGTTCAGGCTATTTATTAGAGTTGGGTGACGATTAGCTGATGATTCAATTGGGTGATTCAAATGTTGTATGTTTTCCCATCCAATGACAATCACTTTCGATGTTGCGAGTTTGACCTTCTACCCTCAAAGTTTATGGGCTGAGGTGAACATCCTTATTCACGCTTTGGCGTGAGTTTTCTGGTTTAGAAATGCAATAACCCCAAGGGGCGATACTCCGCTTTGCTGTCTCCAGGGCAAAGAGGGGGGGGGGGGGGGGAATGGTATTATTTCCTAAAGTTTCATCGGTGGGATGAGTTGACCACA